TGCCTCAGCCTCCTGAGTAGCTGGGATTACAGGCACGTGCCACCATGCCCAGCTAATTTTTTGTACTTTTAGTAGAGACGGGGTTTCACCCTGTTGACCAGGATGGTCTCGATCTCTTGACCTCGTGATCCACCCGCCTCGGCCTCCCAAAGTGCTGGGATCACAGGCTTGAGCCACCGCGCCCGGCTAGATCAGGGATTTTTATGGAGACCATCACGAAGGCATCATGGATGATTAACTCCATCTCCATCCCTTCTCCTTTTCCTAGAATCTGAAGGGTAGGGCTGAAAGTTGCAAGCATCTAATCATGGCTTAGCCTTTCTAGTGACCAGTCCCCATGCAGGGGCCCACCAAGAGTCACTTCACTAGAACAAAAGACTGTCCTGTCACCCAGGAAATTCCAAGGGATTAGGAACTCGGTTTCAGGAAATTACAAGGGTTTTAGAAGCTCTGTGCCAGGAACTGAAAGCAGAAAATATGTGTGTGTGTGTGAACATATATTATTATTTATTCTTTTTTGTAGAGCCGAGGTATTGCTCCATGGCTCCGGCTGGACTTCTGGGCTCAAATGATCCTCTCTCTTAGCCTCATGAATAGCTGGCACTATAAGCATGTGCCACCATGTCTGGATCAAATATACATTTTTATTACATACACTGCCTCTTCCATTTGCCTCATGGTAGACAGAGTGATCTTTCAAAAATACAGTCAGTTCCTGCAGCTTCTTCTCCTTAGAATAAACCCCCAATTCTTTGCTACATAATCTGGCCCTGCCTAACTCCTGGATCTCGTCTCTCACTAGCCCCACTCCTGCCTTTTCCCTGCACTGTAGTCCCAAGCTCCTTCTTGCCTCAGGGTCTCTGCATTCGCTGGTCCTTTGCCTGGAATACTCCCCCTGTGCACCCCCCACTAGCACCGTTGGCTCTTTGCAAGGCTAGCTCCTTCCCCTCCTCTGATCTTGATCCAAATATCACCTTTCCAGTTTCCTGACCACCTTGTCCCCTTTCTCCCCCAACGCTCTCTCAGCCACCATCCATCCCATTGCCAGATTTTGTTCTCTTCATAGCACTCATCACTATCCAAATTGTCTTGTTTGTTCATTTGCTTGTTTATGAGTTTGGTTCAGTTTTCCCTATAAGACTAAATGGCTTTTGTTTGCCTGATTCATGGCTGTA